ATGATGCACGGACTCTATGCACAATGTCTTGGACACTCCGCCAGCTAGCAAGGAGACAAAGGGGCGCACGGATACTCGCACGGTCTTGGTTACTCCGCCCATGCGAACGGACGAGGGTGGCGCACGGTCTTCAAGGCTTGTGTCGGGCGGAACTTACGAACAAGCGCACGAGCACATGCACGGCTATAGACTCGGACCGAAATGCACCAACACTTGCACGCGCGGAGCGCACGGCTTGCTCATGGACTTGGACCGAACACACACACACATCATGCACATGAACTTGAACAAAATGATATTAACACTTGGACTTAAATGCACACGGCCATGAACATGAACTCGGAATAAAATCCGAACAATTTAGCTAATCTCGTGATTAAGTTAAATTAATCACTTAATTATGTTTAATTATTCAATTAAATATAATGCTTAACTACCAAAATTATTTCGAACGTAAACGGTACGTCGAAAATAGTTTCGGTAATTTCGACTGAAATAACTGAAAATAATTAATTCCGAAAAATAATATCAGAACCAAAATATTATTAATACTGATAAAAAGTCGGGATATTACAATGATTGGGTTCACAGTTTGGGAGCACCAGTAGTGGGACGACTTTGCTTTCTCCATGATTTTGGTCTAATCAAATAATGGTTTTTGACCCAAGATTTCGACGGGTGTATTCAATTAAGACTTTTTAAAGCTATCAGAATTCTGGTGTATTCAATTGAAATATTATGAGACTTTTAAAAAGTCTGTATGTATTAAATTGATACTTTTAAACACTTTATAAATCTATAAAAGTCTCAGTGTATTCAATTGGAACTTTCTAAGAGCCTCAATAAGTCACCTAGTATTCAAAGTAGAAAGGCTTTATAAGACTTTAAATTCGAAGATTTTTGGAGACTTTTTTTATTAAATTAGAAAAACAAATCTCAATAGAAAACTCCTAAAAATATGGTCTTTTCAATCTAGTATTATGAATCCTAAAAATTCTCCAACTCTTTTCCCTTTTAGAAGCCTTAATCCCTTCCAACTTAATTACCACTTCTAGAAGAATCTCATGTCATCCATCCTTGGCAGTATTCTAGAAGAAATTATATACTTCTAATTAGGAAAATAATAGAATATAAATTAATTCATTTTTTTCTAATTGAATAAATAATACAACATTCCACCAGAGTAATATTATTGCTCTCCCCATTTAGCTCCAATTTATTCAATAAATTCGAACCACCTACTTAATTAATTTATATTAATTAAATTGATCGATTTATACCATCCATATGTTTAAGATATAAAGTCCACTGATTAATTAAATTACTCATAATAAAATTCATCAAATTTTGTATCCCGCGGGATATGAAATTTGTACCACTCAGTTCCTTAATTATTATGTTGGAAATTAATCCGCCTGCAGGGCTTAACATAATATTTATTCCTGAGGTCATTTCGGGGACGTCATCAACTCGTGATCGACACATAGTGACCGTAAATAATGTTAACAACACATCATATAAACATTATCATTTACCAAAATATCAAGTACGTCATCCTAATAAAATAAAAATCACCCTTGGTAAATCAAATAAACAAGTAATGGATACATATGCCTATTTATTATTTTCCGACTTAAGGGTACGCATCAATTACTGAAGGTATAGATTATTTAGTAGATCAGTATTCAAATAATCTTACCCTTCAGCGGTCCATTCAATACTTAACAAAGTACTAGTGTAATTCATGAGTCAAAGACCAACTGAATGAAAATCACACTACAGTCTTCTACCAACAGGTTGTTCAATATTGTGCATACAATGAATATTTAATTTATATTTTTTACAAGAAATTGATAATACGATCTTTCAGTTCGACACATCGAACCATGCTA